AAGCAATTATCCTCAAAGTCCACTTATTAAACTTTTTGATAAAAACAGAACATTTTATTATGAGATTATTAAAGAAGGAACATATCCACTTTCTAATCAATGTTATTATACAAAAAATTCTAAATATTGAATTCCTAATAATTATGTAATTAAAACACATCATAGTAAAGCCAAACATCTTGTAGAATGTGTTATTCAATATATAAACAAAAAACCACTATTTACTATTTGGTTTGGAGCTAATTTAAAAATACAAATACAGTCTTCTAAAAGTGTATCTAATGTTGCATGTTAATATCTTAAAGTAATACTATATTTTATTTTAAAAAGATTTATTATTAAATATAGATATTAATTTTTATTTTTAATTATTTAATAGAAATTAAATAAAACAAAAGTTCAGACTAATATGAAAAAATACAATAAATCAAGAATATTTGGTTCTTTATTATTTGGTTTAACCTTAAATAGTGTAGAAAATATATGCAAAACTTTATCACTTGACTATAATCATCAAATTCATCCTTTTAAAGAACTTAGTATTTCAACACAGCATCACGAAATATTAAAAGTAGTTCAACAAGTTTTAAATACAGTTAAAAAAGAAAAAGAAAATTTTTATTCTGATGATTATATAAATATTAAACAAGTCCAGCTTGAAATTGGAGAAGAACAATTTGATATTAGTTTTGGAAAGTTTGATGAAAAAAGTGAAAAAGAATGAAAAGAAGCAATTGTAAAATCATTAGATTGTGGTCAAATTACAAGAGAAGCATATCGATCATTAGTACGAATCGAGTATGATATACTATGTGAAGGAGCTATATCAGAAATAAAACAAAAAATAAATTTAGAAATAAAAAAAAAAATTTCACTATCGCTTGTAAATATATTACAGCCAACTATATTTGAACCAATTACCAATACTTTAAAAATTACTGATATAAATATTATTACAAATATGTTAGAATCTATTGGAATAGGAGGACAACGTCATATTACAGATATTTTGAATTATATTATACCTTTTTATATTAACAAAGGTATTTTAATTCCAAAAAAATCAACTTTACATATTCATATTTCAGGGGATGGCCGAAATGTAGGGTGCAAAGTTAAGCATGTAATGGTAACAATAGCATTGTTAAATGATCTAGCAGAATTGCAAAAACTGGACAACCACTATATACTTGTATTATATCCAGGTTCAGAATCATATAATTCATTAAAAAATGCACTAGCTCCATTAATTTCAGATCTTTATTTACTATATGAAAAAAAATTTCAACAAATCGATAGTATCTAGTAGCCAGTCAAACTTTATTTTAGCTCAGATTAGAAATTTTTAGCAACATGTCTTGGAATGAAAGCTGCAAATGCTAAATATTTTTGTCTGTGGTGCGATTGTTCTAAAGAGAATATTAATAGTACAGACAAAAAAATTACTAAATCAATAGAAACAATTAAAATAAATTATTCTCAAATGAATAGGCATTTAAAAAAGCCTTTATTTTATATAATACCTATTTGTAACTGGGTTTGCAATGAACTATAAATTCTTTTAAGAATAACTAATCGACTATGGGAATTAATGTTATCCGATCTTAGTCGAGAACAAGTTAACGAAACAATTTGGCAATCAAAAATTTTAAATGAAATGAAAAGACTTAATGTAACTTATCAGTTTTGGCACGAAAACAATAATCTTTTATATACTTCACTTATGGGGCCTGACAAGTTGAAGGTTTTACAAAATTTTAATTTTATAGCAATTTTTTAATCTAATAGTTGGGCTACACAAATTCAAAATCTTTGGAATCAATTTTATGAGTTATATAGTTTGATGCAAGATAACAAAACTATGAGTAGAATGTTTTATGAAAAAGCACAAAATTGGTTAATGTCTTTTCTAGCCCCATCTCAAAGTCAATCTAATAAAAGTAACTTTGTTCGTGGAATGTATCGTATGCAAGACATCACACCTTATATTCATGTTCTAGTAAACCATGTATATGAATTTTTGAATATTCATTATGATTTTGGATTAGTTGTGTTCTCTTGCTCAGCAATTGAAAAAAAAAATCACTTACAAGTTTGTCAGTATTTTCAAAACACGCTTAAAGATGGAGGTCACGAGAATTCACGAAAATTAGCTATTTTGGAAATTTTAGAATATAAGAATCGGCAACTTTACTTCACCAGTAATGATACTCTGAATTTTTTCAAGAAATCTAAAAAATATAGATTAGAATCTAAATAATTGACAGGCAAGAATAATAATAACTTTGCAATTAATTCAAATTTAATATCTTAAATTTACTTATTAATCACAAACACTTTGTATTCACTTTTGCTACTCTATTAGTTCAAGAAACTGCTCTTAAATAGAAGTCATAAATATTATTTTCATTTTATTACAATTTTATAATTTCAAATTATTTTGCTATCACAATAAAACTTCGTCTTATTGCTTTAAATAAATATTCTTAATGCCTTTTTTAAGCATTTACTGTATTAATATTGGTATATTTTTTAATGATCATTTTAATTTTTCTCTTATTTGGAATATAGCGGCTATTAATTTTTTTTTTTAATATTTATATCTTTGTAGTTTTACGAATAGTTATGAAAAAACTACACTGACATTTTTATGAGCCACAAAACTATTAGACTTACTAGATCACTACTTTATAAGTTTATTAAACTTAAGTACGAATCATAAATTTTAGGGAACTCAAAATATATTCACTCTCGCACTTACATTAATTAACATTCATCAGTTTTCCTAACTTATGAAGGTAAACTATGCATCTGAGATCTATTTCTTCAAATTCTACAGCAAATCAGAAATATCGATATTCGTAGCTTTTAATTATTATCATATTTATTATTTTTTAATATTAGGGGTTATAAATAGATTTTGTAAATGGACAAGCAACAATCACGACAATGATCAATTAATTCAACAAACAATTTAATGCATCAATGTTTAAAAACATCATTGAATAGATACCTTTTAGCAAATTCACAAATATGAAGTATCTTGTTAAAGGAGGCTTTGAAAGCAGTATGGATTGATGGATATATTATAAGATTTGATTATCAAAATATGTATAGAAACAAACGGCGCAGGTGGATGTTTGTTTAAAGGGCTTTGATAATTCTAAAGATATAAAACAAGAATTTTTAGAAGAAGTAAGCATTATAATTTATTATTAAAGTGTAATAATCTTATTTATTCTAATTTATATTTTAGATTAAAAATCAGCATAATCATAGGGGCAATTCAGCAATTGCGATTTATAGAATAACCAAGAACCAAAAAGATGGTAACTACTAGAGTATACAAAGTAGGGAAGTCTTAGAAAATTATTAGATAGTAAAGATGGTGAATTAGATTGGGCTTCTAAAGTAGCTAATTTATATTATATAGCTAGAAGACTTAATATAATTTACAAAGCCAATCTAGTGCATGAAGATTTTTATTCCAGAAATATAGTTAATCAAAATATGTTTAGCTCTTATATTACTGATTTTGGCTTATATAAGCCAGTGTTACATAATTTAATTCTAAAGCACTTCTTGGTATGCTTCTCATATGCACATAGAAAGGAATACACTCAATAATTAGATATTTATTCTTTCAGAATACTTATGTCAGAAGTTTTTACTAGATATCCTCTATACTATGATATTCCACATGACAAAGATCTAGCAATGCATATTTGTCTGGGTTACAGATCTAAAATTAGATGCGAAGTTTCTCAATTACTTTTGGATCTGCTGAGTAAGTACTTAGATGCAGATCCTCAAAACTGACCAACTGCTAATAAATTAGCCAATACTAGTGTTTGGCAAAATCGAATAAAACTTGATTTTTGAGTTTTACTCGATTTTGCCAAGCATTAGTTATTGTAAATATGGAATTAGTTAAAAATAATTGAAATTTACAGGCACGAGTGATTCGGACAAAAGGTTCTGGCTTGGCTATTGTAAGTATAAATTTTGAATTAGAAAGGATGAAATAAAGCTTTTATTTATTATTGAAATTTACAGGTATGAATAATTTGGACAAAGGTTTCTGGCTTGGCTATCATAATTGGATGAAAATAAAGCATTTATTTATTATCAAAATTTACAAATATGAATGATTCAGACTATAGGTATTGTGAATATGAAATTAGATAAAAATAAGCCATTTATTTATTATTGAATTTACAGATATGAATGATTCAGACAGCTTGGTTATTGTGAGTATGGAATTGGAATTAGGAAGAATGAAATAAGGCATTTATTTATTATCAAAATTTGCAGGTATGAATAAAAATAAGGCATTTATTTATTATCGAAATTGATAGGTATAAATGAATTATACAAAGGATTCTAGTTGCTTATTGTGAATAAAATTAGATAACAATAAGGAATTTATTTATCATCAAAATTTACAGGTATGAACGATTTGAATGGCTTGGTTATTATGATTATGGATTAGATGAAAATAAGGTGTTAATTTATTATTAAAAATTTACAGGTATGATCGATTCAGTTGGAAGGTTCTGACTTGGTTATTACAAAATCATGATTAGAATGAAAATAAGACATTCATTTATTGTCAAATTTTATATAAATGATTTTGATTGGTTTGGTTATTATAAATATGAAATTGGATAAAAGACATTTAGTTAATATCGAAATTTACAGGCATGAGTGATTTGAATGGAGGATTCTGGCTTGATTATTGTTATGAATATACAAATTCAACCTAGCTACTTATATATAGCAGATTATTAATTTTGTCTAACTATAAAATTTTTAAATTCTTTCGAATAAATTAAGATATATGTAATCAATAATTTAAAGGTTGTTTGTTAATTTACTTTATTATTTTAATAAATATATTTAATCATATTATAAACACTATAAACAGCACTATTTATATGATTTAAAGTTAACATAATTATAGATTTTATTTAATTTGTATATTTAAAATTGACATTGATCTAAAAAAAAATGAATTTTAAGTGTTCTTGCTTTATGTACCTTATTCACCTTATCTTTAAATCTAATTACTCACTATTCTATAGTCATTTCTCCATTGTGAGATAATTTTTTTTTTTTTTTTACTATTGTAATTTGTTGTTTGTCTCTAATATATTTTGTTTTTTTGTAGAATAAAGTCGAACAAAACTACATTGACCATTGCCATAGTCATATTTATACCATTGATCATTGTTAAATATTAACCCAATTGTTTTAACAGCATCTTCTTCTCCAAAATTACAAAGATAAAAGGAACCACATGGTGAATAGTGTGTAATATAAGGTCCAAATATACCCACAAAAGTATTTTCACTACAATGCATTGAAAACACTTGTTCCCCAATAGCACGGTAATGATTTTTGAGTTTTTTTTGCAATTCTTTAATTATAGCATTTCTTAAATGATTGAGTTCTGATTCGGGTATTTGTTGAATGTGATTTGGTAATAGATTATATGATGCATGTTTTAATGTCCCATGTCACTACAATCCAGAATGATTCTTGTATTCTTTAGAATGTATACATATAGTATAGTAAAATCTCAAAGAATTATAAACTATAGTCATCAAATATAACTAAAAATTATTCAATTTATATTTTAATTTATAAAAAAAACAATTTAAAGTTTCAAATAAGCAAAGTAGTTATTTACAACTGAAATTGTATAGTTTTATATGTTTTGACAAAAGTTTGATAGGTTGAACAGGTTTTTGATGGGTTAGTCGTGGGTTTTATATTAAATTGGTTTGTTTTGAACCAAAAAACTTTTAGTTAATAAAAATTTGGTGATATATTTTCTCATGTGACTATCAAAAAAAGATCCAAAAATCAATTATAACTATATAAAAAAAGGCCTAAAAAACCAAATCTGCTGATATGATTTTCAACTTAATTTTATTTTTCTCTAATATATATCTTCATTATTGAAGATACTATATATATTTTTTTTGATGAGATATAAAGTTTGTGATTTCGAAATAAGAAATAAAATATGTGAAAATTAAATATTTCATGCTAAGGGTTTAATAAATAAATAAATAAATAAAAAAAAAAAATAAAAAAAAACATTTTAAAAAATTATATAAAAAGGATATTAGCTTTTTTTTTTGAAAAAAAAGTAATATATTATAGTGAAATAACTATATATTGTAGTTTTTTTTTTTTTTAATATTAAGATGATCACTTAGATCTCCGACACTTAGCTTTATTCAGATAATTACGATATTATATTAATTTTACAAGAATACAACTAGCCACATGTGTACTTTTGGTATCTAATTTAAGTAGTCTGCCTGGGTTCTACACTAGCCGCCATACCTG